GAAAGAGTCTTTACGCATGGAGATCAACAAGGCTAAGGACGAGTTAAAAGAAATCTCTTCCGAAGTCATGATTGAAGACTCTTTGATGGTTAGCCTGGCTGCTCAGATGAGGGAACTTCAAGCCAAAATGGACGATTGCAGGGCGAGGATGGCTGCTAAAAAGCGCAACGCCTCTCAGGGGATTGAGCGAACTAAATCCTTGGTCGAACAGCACAAGAAGTTGGAAGTTGATGATGATGACGTTGCAGCTGAATTGAACATCACTTCCTCCCGGCAGAACGAGGATTGGGAAAAACTTAGGGAACAAATTCGTTCCTTATGGGGTAGACTGTAATTAAGACATACGATGTCTTTTCTCTTTTGTAATTTTTGTTCATTATTAATGAACATTAACTTCTTGTGCATTTATTTGACGTTTATTTTCTAATCATCAATTCTTTAATCACTTAACTGTTTTGCACTAAGAATCTTGTCCATTCCCTTTTGATATTCCCACTACTGTTCCCAAGACTTAGGGCCATTTAGTTCCGTCTATTAAACAGAAATGTGGCTGTTCGTATTCTGTCCCTTCATCTTCACCCCCTATAAATGTTTCGCATTTTTCACCCTCTATCTTCATCTCTTCATTTTCTTATTCGAAACCAATTTGCTGTCATTTCTTGGCATTCTGACGATCAACCTGATCCAAAAATGGACTGTTTAGTCCATCCACCTTATATTTACCTTGATGTCACCTTTGGTATGGGAGGTATAGAAAATATTTTCTGGCCAGCAGCGAAGTTCTTTCCTGCAAAATTCTTCCCATCGTCTCTTTGTTCTTCACAAGGAGTCAATGATGGGAGGCAATTTTTGGGCTGCTTGTGGGCCACTTTGCTTGCTGAGAGTGCTTCTCAGCTTGTCTGCTGAGAGTGTTTCTCAGCCTCGCCATTGCGGCGATGCATTTAGGAACGTGGTGAGGCCAGTACACCCTCTCACTCGTCAACCCCACCTTTGCAGCGATGCATTTAGAAAGGCGGTGGGGCCAGTATACCCTCTTACTATTCAATCCCACCATTGCAGCGATGCATTTAGGAAGGCGGTGTGAAACTTACTCAGCGATCAACCAGGAGATACTTTAGTTGTATTTTGTAGCACGTCCATCATTTGTATCTTTTGTATTCTTGTAATGAACGTTTGATAATAAAGAACTTTATTTGAACGTATTTCGCTCTGTCTTTATTATCTTTTGATCGTCCAGAATGTTTGGTTATGTTTTTATCTGTTCACATTCCCATAGAGAAGGAACATATTTTTTCAAATATTTGCCGTTAATGAATCTTACGTGCTTGGTGCCGTCTAGATCTTCCAAGTGGTACGCTCCATTAGGCAACACACTGTTTATTTTGTATGGTCCTTCCCAATTGGGCGACCACTTCCCGTACTTTGGATCCTTGGTATCCAAAGGGAGTATCGTCTTTCAAACTAGCTCACCCAGGCTGAACGACTTGGCTATGACTTTTTTATTATAAAATTTAGCCATTCCTTGCTTTTGAACTTGCAACCTATCTAAGACGTCCAACTTCAATTCATCTAAACTTAATAAATTTTGAACTAGTGATTCGGCATACTCATCATTATTCAACTTATGTTGCAAGCACACTCGAATTGATTGCACGTTGATTTCCATAGGTAAAACGGCCTCCTGTCCATAAACAAGTTGGAAAGGAGTAATTTTGGTACTTGACCGAGGTGATGTTCTATAAGCCCATAAAACCTTGTTCAAACATTCGTGCCAATTTCTGGCGTTTTCATCTATCATCTTTCTGATGATATTTTTTAGAATCTTATTAGAAGATTCCGCTTGTCCGTTGGATTGAGCGTAGTACGGTGTGGAGTTTACTAATTTAATCCCAAACTCGCTCAAAAATTTGTTTACTTGATCCCCATTCAAGGATGTTCCGTGATCTACCATTAAAGTTTGTGGAATTCCAAATCTATAAATAATGTGATCACGAATAAACTCTATAACATTCTTTTGGGTGATCTCTTTCAAAGGTATCGCCTCTACCCATTTGGTGAAATAGTCGGTTGCAACTATAACAAAAGTATGTTGCTTGGACGATGGAGGGTAAATCTTCCCTATCAGATCTATCGCCCAACCTTTGAATGACCATGGTTTAATAATATGTGCCATCTCTCGTGCTGGCGCCCTTTGTATTGGACCATGTTTTTGGCATGCTAAACAACTTTTTGCATACTGAACGCATAGTTCTCCCATCTTTGGCCAAAAATATCCACTCCTAATAATTAACCACCTCATTCTTTGGCCAGCTTGATGAGCTCCACATATCCCTTCGTGCACTTCAGCCATGATCGTCTTGGCTTCTTGCAGACTCACACACTTTAGTAATACACCATCAGAGCGTTTCTTAAACAGCTCTTCATCTATTAGTGTGTAATTCAGCAAACATAGCTTCGTCTTTCTGCTAATCCCTCCATTAGGTTTTTTAAGGAACCCTTTAATCTCTATTCTCCAATCCACTGCATCTCCATCTTGTATACAGTGAAGTTCAATTTTCCTCGCCCTTCTTTGAATCACAGGCAATATGATTCCATATTCACAAGTAGACTTCCAATTCAAAATCTTTGAGTACCCTGATGCCAATTGGGCTAACTCATTTGCCATGTCGTTATATATCCTATTAACGCATTGGAGTTCTACTTGATCGAATTCTTCTAGTAATTCTTGGGCGATCTCGTACTGACTTATAATGGAATCACTTTGGCATTTAAAATCACCGATCAATTGGTGGATCACCAATTGAGAATCGCCCCTAACGATCACATTTCTTATTCCCATATCTACCATTAGTTCTAGGCCTACAATTAAAGCTTCATATTCGGCCTGATTGTTGGTGCACATTCTGTCTAAGGTGAATGCAAACTTGTAGCAAATCCCTAAAGGATTAATCAATGCTACCCCCACTCCTGCACCCTTAGAGGTTTTCGACCCATCGAAATACAACACCCAAGGTTTTAATTCGAACGAATTGATTTCTAATTCGATTTTTTCAGGCATGTCAAGGCATAGATGATCGGCTAGAAAATTAGCCAAAGCCTGATTTTTTACTGTCTTTTAAGGTATATATTGTATTTCGAACTCTGATAAAGCTAGGGTGCAAAGGCCTACCCTTTGGTGTAAAATAGGGCGCGAGAACATATACTTGACTAAATTTACTTTAGAAATTAAATAAACGGTTACGGGCCGTAAATAAGCCCTTAATTTTGTACATGTGAAATACAGTGCTAGACACAACTTTTCAACAGCAGAGTAATTACATTCACATTTCGTTAACTGTCTACTTAAGTAATAAATTGCCCTTTCTTCACCAAATTGGTCTTCCTGTACGACCATTCCAGCTATTGATTCTTTTTCAACCGATACATACATTTTCATTGGCCGTCCCTGGATTGGTGACACCAACACTGGTAGACTTGATAGATATGTCTTCAGGCTTTCAGAAGCCTTTTGATGTTCTTCTTTCCAGACGAATTCGTCCTGATTTTTCAGCTTTAATAGCGGCGAAAAGATTTTAGTTCGCCCTGCACAGTTAGAAATAAAGCGTCTTAAAAAATTTACTTGGCCTAGAAACCTTTGCAACTCCTTTTTATTGCCAGGTGGTTTGGCTTCTAAGATGGCCTTCGCTTTATTTTTGTCAAGTTCAATCCCTCTCTTGTGTACTAAGAAACCAAGAAAGTTCCCTGCATTAACACCAAATGCACACTTCAAGCGATTTAACTTTAACTTATATTGTCTCATTCGTTCAAACGAACATCTTAACTGTTCGAAATGGTCATCTTCTTTAATGGACTTGACCACTATATCATCCACATACACCTCAACAAACTTGCCTATCATGTCATGAAAGATTAAATTCATAGCTCTTTGATAAGTTGCCCCTGCATTTTTTAGGCCGAAAGGCATAACCACCCATTCGAAACATCCTAGGGACCCATGGCATCTAAAGGCAGTTTTGTGTATGTCTTCTTCACCTATATAGATTTGATTGTATCCTGAATACCTATCCATGAAAGAATACATGACATGTCCGGCAGTTAAATCTACTAAGGAATCCACCGTGGGCATTGGATACTCATCTTTGGGTGTAGCTATGTTTAAATTTCTAAAGTCTATACACACCCTTAGTTTATCATTCTTTTTTAGTACTGGCACAATATTCGACAACCATTCAACATATCTGGTTGTTCTTATAAAATCTGCTTTCAATAATCGCTCTATCTCTTTTTTGATTTCAGGGAGTACATTAGGAGCAAAACGCCTAGGAGGTTGCCTCTGAGGTTTAAAATTAGGCTTAGTTGGTAATCTATGTTCCACTAAGTCTCTATCTAAACCAGGCATTTGTTCGTATTCCCAAGCAAAACAATCTTTGTACTCTTTTAACAAAGCGATTAATTTGTTACTAACCTCTTGGTCGAGTATCTGGCTGATGAACGTTGGGTGATCTTCTCCTTCATCGCCAATATTTACTTTGATCAGAGGGTCTTGCGTTTGAGCGTATCCAGGTTTGGCAATCCGCATCACTTCGTCGTCCAGTTCTTTTGTAAGTACTTCCTCTTCCAAACAGTCCACCTTGTTGACTTCTCGGCAAACGTTTTGCTCTAACTCGAATACTGCCAACTTGTCCTTCA